AAAAGACGGCCGTGTATCGCGTGGTAGTAGGTAAAAAACTGCACACCCCCCCCCCCACATTCGTTCTGAGAATATATACCAAAGACTGGCGTATGCTCCTACCTCACTGGGGCAAGAGCCATAACAGCAAAGAAGAAGAAGAAGTACGTTTTAAATCTATCAAACGCAGAAAACGATAATGGAAAAACTGTCTTATATATAATCAATGGAGAGTTCCAGACACCAATCACAGACAAAGTACAGAAGAATAATCGATTGTGATTTGTCAATTTCTTACTGTTACGGCCTACAACTCTCCATTGTAGACGGCTCTTAAATGTTTTAAAACATATGCGTATCACATGCAACGTGATACGTATCACGTACGTATGTGATCGTATATCAGTGATCGTGTATAACAGTTACGAGTGAAAATTGCGAAGAATTAGAATATTAAAGAAGAAAAAGAAAGTATAAAGCATATAATAAAATATGCAAATATAATTTTTAATTTTCTAGTATAACAGCGAATTCGGTAGCTTAGTGTGCACTAATATAAAGTAATGAAAACAATAACTTGCGTTGCTAAAACTAAATTGCTACGATTTTTCAAATTTCAGACGATAATTTCATTAATTTGCATAGTTCGCGATGGTGCGAATTTGTTTTTTGTGCAAGAAAAAGGCAACCAAGAATGCAAACTTTACAATGCATAAGTAAATATCTTAGATAAAATGAGTACTTATAAAATGCTATTATTTTCTCTAATTTAACTTAATTACATAGTATTATTACATTAAATTTGCTGCAACACATGGTTAGATTATCAAGCAAATTTTATAACACATTTAACAGCATGATAAAATAAATAATAATTATTTGCAGATTTCCAAAAGAAGTGAGCATTCGAGCACAATGGTTGCATGCCTGCAAATTATCTGACAAGGACAATGTAACGCATGTATACATATGCTCGGATCATTTTATACAGAGTGACTATAGACATAGTACGGAACTGCTGTGTCAAAAGAAATGGTTATTGAAATCAGAAGCAGTGCCTTCCATCGGTGTTCCAAATCCTCCAGCTATCAAACTGCAGTTCCAGTCAACATGCAAGAATATGATTGATGAGACACGTAAGTTTTTAACTTTAAACTTTTTTATTGACAGTAGTAAATACTATAAAGAATTGTTACAGCTTTGGTTTAATATCATTCATATTGTTTTATAGGATCACTGCCTTCAATTGATGCTCTTCCAACTTTCACAGCAGTTACTTCTAATGTCAAAAAACCAGAGTTTGCATCAACATTCAAGGATGTTATTCAAGAGACACGTAAGATTTTAACTTTTAACTAGTTTTATTGAGGATACTAAATACTAAACCCAGATAGCCAACTAAGTGCAAGTTGTTTGCAACTTGCCACAAATATTGCTCATATGTTTTCAGCAATGTAACAAAAGAGTGTATCCTCTTTTCAGTATGTTCTTACCAGCAACAGTTTTCAAAATATAATTACAGCAAGTTCGCAACAACTCATCAGCAATAAACTTATATTATTTTTTTCAACTTATGAATAAAAATTGTTGCTCATATATTGCTCACATATTGCTGACTCACTTGCCATAAACATTGGCTACAACAATTGATTGATAATAAAACTCAGCATATTGATACTGAATTGACAAAAACATTTTCGTTGCATTAAATAAAAACAACATAACAGCAATTGGCGAGCAACTTAATCTATACAATGATTTGCTTTATATTGAGTTTTCATATTTGGCTATCTGGGAAGTTAGTTGTTTTTAAATATATTTTAAAATATATTTATATTTTTAAGAGTGTAAGTTCTTACACATTGTTTTTGAATTGAAGTTTTCAATTCTTAAGACCATGTAGGATGTTTGATTTGCATCACGTATATGAGAATACCTATTTTTCCTTCCCAATTAACTTTTTTCGCAATATAGTTTCTAAATTAATTGAGAAGAGAAAAAAAAGGGTATTCTCACATACGTGATGCAAATCAAGCATTCTATATGGTTTTAAGAATTGAAAATTTCAATTCAAAAACAATGTGCCAGAAGTTACACTCTTAAAAATATAAATATATTTAAAAATATATTTATCTGCAAAACATCTAGCAAACGGCTCTTACAACCTTTGAAATTTATTAGTTTTAACTGCATGAACATCAATATCTTAATTCGTCTTAGTTGTTTTTGTTTGGACGTTATTCATGTTGCTTTATTAATAACAGATCATGACGAAAAACAGCAAAAGCTGTATGCTACTCCGAAGAAACGGAGATTTGCAGAGCCTCGGTACATATCCGAAATTACAACTTCCGATTTTTCATCACCCAAGAAAGCCCGAAGAGTTATCGATATGGTGAAAAAAACCTATAAAGAGAAATGTAATTTGATCCACAATCTGCAGAAAAAAAATCGGACGCTGTGTAAACGCATTACCACTTTAGAAGAATTGGTAAAGCATTTGCGTAAAGAAACATTAATGTCAGAAGAAGGTGCAGACGCTTTAATGGTATAGTATCTATCAAAATTATATTAAATGGTTAAACTTATTTGGATTTATTTTATGATTAACCACAGAGACTAGCAACGTCGTGCTAGAATAATTAAATGTAATAGAATAAACAGACTGATCATTTTATATTAGTAATTTATGCACTTAAAAAGATTGTTTATACAATGATAAATGAAAATGTAATTGAAATTGTAAATAGTATAACTATTTTGAATTACAGTTAGATTAATCTCATTGTTTTAGCGTGCTGCTCATTGCAATTTGTCACATTCCACTATAACACATTTTGTCAGCTCTAAAAATAAAATAACAGGTAAGATTTTATTTTTAATAAAAAAAACTTTTTGAGGTTTTACTATTAAGTTTTTTTATCTGATTAATTCCAAGTAAAAAAATTTAAAAGTGTTTTAAAGTACTATTTATATATACAAAAAACTATAAGCTGTTTATAATTTCATTGACCATAAAAATTTTACTCAGATCTTACTGAATATTATAATTGCGTGTAATAACATTGCATAACAGAGACCAACTTTTTACAAGTCTTATAATTTTTTACAAAAATGATAAGAAAATGTTTGTTGTTTTCTTAGTTTGTGCAGCACGCTTGTATATAATATCTATTTTTACCAAAAATTTTAAAAAATATTGATACAAATCGTAACAAATAAAAAAATCATAACAAATAAAAAAAATTGTAATTTTTTCTTTGATAGGACATGATGCCGGAAAAAATAAAACATGTCGCGAGTAGGAAAGTGAAAGGCAAGGGACAGTATTCGCTTGAACTCTGCAGTTTCGCACTTACATTTTTATTCATCGAAAGCGTACAATTATGTAAGAAAAATGTGGGACAATTTGCTGCCAAACCTTTCTACCATTCGTACTTATACAGAGTCGTCGATGGAGACTTGGATTTCACAAAAGAAGCATTGAATGCTATAGCTCTACGAGCGGAAGGACCGAAACTAGTGATTGTAAATCTGGTGAAGGACGAAATGGCTATTCGTGAGCAGATAATTTACGATAAAGATAGATTTCACGGTGACGTCGATTATGGAATTACCGACGAATGACAATGATTGTATACTGACAGCAAACTACGCTCTAATGGTTATGGCGGTGTTCCTGAATAACAACTGGAAGATATCAATAAGGTATTTTTTAATAAGATCTCTAAATGGTAGTGAACGAGCAAATTTACTCACCCAGGCATTGCAAGCATTACACGATTCTAATTGTAAAGTATTTTTGATAACGATAGATAGAATATCATCAAATCTCATAATATACACTGCTATGGATGCTACATTTAATTATGGACCTCATTTTAAACCTTATTTTACAAATCCGGCTACTTCTGAGAATTGTTTTGTCTTTCTTGATTTCTGTCACTGTATTAAATTGGTTTGTAACACCTTTGGAGACAAATTCTTACGACTACCAACGGTAACAAAATTATGAATGAATGAATGAATGAGGCTTTATTTATATGGCGCTCCGGGAAACATCCCCTCAAGCGCATAAGTGACAATTAAAATATAGATACATAAGAAAAAGATAAATTTTAAGAAAATAATGTGAGTTTGTAAAAAAGTAGAAATATAAATCGTAACAAAAAGTAAAAATAAAATAAAGATGTTGATAGCAATGAAAATAAAGATAAAGAAAAGAATAGAGCCAAAGGCATCACAAACTACATGTTGTTTTTTAACAAATGATCATATAGATCTCTTTTAAAAACGCCATAAGGTGCCCTGCGAATTGCTGCCGGTATGTCGTTCCAGACGTCAACACAAACACACCTAAACGAACGCCTAAACAACTCCGTTCGACTCAGAGGAAGAACAAGATTGTCCTGAAGAGCTCTAGTATTGCGTGTGCAACTATCACGTCTAAGAAAAAGCGAATCGAGAAGCACTCGAGGTCTCTCAGTTTCCAAGATTCTATAGATCAAACAGCCAATAAAATATGATCTTCTTTGTTTGATTTTGAGCCAATTTAGCCTTTCAAAATAAGGCGTTATGTGNTCAAACCATTTCGCTTGAAAAATAAAGCGAATACAGGCATTAAGTGTCCTTTGTAACCGTAGATTGTTTTCACCAGTTATGTCAGTCAATAATGCACAGCAGTAGTCGAAATAAGGCAGGAGCAGAGTTGAAACTAATTTTATTCTTAGGGCAGGCGAAAGCAGATGTTTATATGTCTTAAGTCGATGCAGGGATGAATTGACACGCGCGATGGTTTTATTGACCTGCTCATCCCACGTAAGTACATTATTAAGAAAAACGCCTAAATACAAGACAGTGTTCTTGTAAGAAATATGATCACCATCGACCACGATAGGCGGCAACTCGTCATGTGCGATATTATTAATGTATCTGCGTGTACCAAATATAGTAGCCGTTGTCTTACTAGCATTGAGCGAAAGTTTGTTGTTTGTTGCCCATTTGACGACATTGGTAATGTCAGCATTTAATCTGGCAATTGCTTCGTTTATGCAGCTCGGTTTTGCGTGTATGTAAATCATAAGATCGTCCGCATAATAATTATATTTACAATATTGCAACGCATTGCAGAAGTCCGTAACGTATATAATGTAGAGAAGAGGACCCAACACAGACCCCTGCGGCACTCCACTAACAACAGGCAATCCCGCCGAGAGCCGACCAGATTCAGGATCTCGTACCAGCTGTACTCGGCCAAAGAGATACGAACAAATCCATCGCAATGNAGAACAGGAGAAATTTAAATTTCTCAATTTATCGATCAAAAGTCGATGACTCACACAGTCAAATGCCCTCGAAAAATCGAAGAACACCGACACCGTGACCATCCGCGAGTCAGCGGCCAGTCTGATATCATCCAGAACTCTAACTAAAGCCGTTTGTGTAGAATAGTTCCTCCTGTATGCGTTCTGATGAGGATCCAGATAGTTGTTTTCTTCAACATATATACTCAGTTGGTTGGCGATCAAACGTTCAAATACTTTTGATAGGATGCAAAGTAGCGAAATCGGTCTATAATGTTTAAGTTCCGTTGGGTTCTTAACTTTAGAGATCGGACATATTATAGCAGTTTTCCACACCGAAGGAAAAACACCATGTAATAGGCAGTGATTGAAAATGTGCTCAATGTATGGAAGCACACAAGGTAAAGCAACGCGCAGGATGTTCAAGGATAGTCCATCAATACCGACTGCTTCAGATTTAACCTTATGAATGGCCGTGAATATATCCCCAGCAAACAAAATGGTGGCAACATGCCGGTATTATGCAAGCATGCTTTCAAAGCGTGATGTCTCTGTGATTGCCAGATACAAGTTCATCTAGCAAGCATCGCGATGACACGTTACGCTTACCACTCTATGCAAGCTTTGTGCAAGCAGAATATGCGTCAAATTGAAAAGTGTCGACCTCTGTCGTCATTTATCTCATTATTTTTAGCATGTCATGATATCAATTTGCTAGCATACCAACGCGTGGCATCACTGAACAACACTGTACCAATATATTGTTCACATGACATGCTTTCACGGCGTGCTGACACGTGATGTTTGCTGGGTCATTACTGCTGATGTTCCTCCAGTAGAACTTATTATCTTCAAATGTCTCTTCTCCAAGATAGAGGGCGTTGGTATTATACAAATCGGCGTTTTGCGTTCCAGCCAGAAAGAAATTGTTAAGTTCATTTGAATCAAACAATAGCTTTTTATCANTCGCTCTTGATTTGACGAGTCCCAGCTGTTTTAAATTCCTCCAGATCTCAGAAGGATCTCTGATATTAGAGAAAACGGACATGTAGTAATTCTGCTTGGCCTTCCGAATTACATCCTGAACCTGATTTCTAAGAGCTCTATAGAGATTGTAATTGTTCACATTTCTGCGACGCCGCCATGCTCTGCGCATCCTGTTCCTTCTCACCATTAGTTGCTTAACCTCCGGTGTCATCCATGGTGCAGGTAGATGTTTTGGATGAATGGTTTTAAAAGGAGCGTGTCGATCCAGGCAGTTCATCAAATAATCATGGAACAGTGCTATCTTCACATCGATGTCTTCAACCTCCCTAAACGTTCTCCAGTCACAAACCGAAAGCTCCTCGAGGAAAGCATCACTATCGAATCCACTGAAATCTCTGACAGTGATGGTTCTAATGGTGCGCCGATTAACTTGGATGTTGTATGTTATCTCCACAAGGTCGTGCGTCGAGAGGAAGCATACATCTCTCTGAGAAAATGAGACTACCTTGTCGCAATCATCCACGATGCAAAGGTCGAGCAACGTATCCGAAGTTGCTGTGTGGTGCGTTGGTTGATATGGCACTAAGAATTATGTGAAACTTTGTTAAACTTCATCAGTTTAAAAAAACAAGGTTTACGAGCAGTTAATAAATTAACAAATAAATATATTAACTATCAAAATAGTAGAATGAACGTTAAATTAGCTGTGCAAACTCTTAGCGTCTATAAAGCTTTCGAGTTTTTAACAAGGAGAAATGACAACTCGGTGAAAAGTAAATTTGAGAGCTGCATGCCAACTGCTATATTTTGTCTCTAATTTAACAATATGACTGATATGCTTATCTGCAAAAATTGGTTTTCAAAAGAAACATTTAATACGCCTCTAACCGACGATAATTATATGCAGTTAAAAGCTTTCGCGGTTGATTTTGAGACTTACATTAACACGATCTGCGATCAATAAGGCACTTCAATTCTCAGAAGTAGCGGGAGAACAGGTTTTCTTAGGATTATTGTATGTCTTAAGAATATGTTTTGCCTATTTGATCAAGTAAAATTAGTAGACCTAACTTACCTTTTGATATACAAATTAACCCAAGATTACTTGGAAACGTTTTTTTAGCGCGATTAGAAGTCGGAGAGAGTTCAATAACAACCCTAATGCCCAACAACTTAACAACTTAAAAGTGCGTATAAACGATTGTTAATTAGACACAAAATTAAAGTTTGATAATGGTAATTGCCTTTTTGACGGCATAGACATATTACACGTCTCTTCTACCGTAAATACTTTAAAATGTCCAATTGGTGATTCCAGGTTTTTACACAAATCTATTGATTTCGGCCACGACTATATTAAAACATTTTAGGACTTGTCACCATATGTTGACAATGTAGTTCTGTACATCGCAGACTACGTTAGCAAACACGTTAGCAATAATTTATATTGTGACATATGTCGGGCTCAATTAGTAGAATCCTAAATGCCTTTGCTGTCGTCAAAAAAAAAGAAAAAAAAAGAAAAAAAAATAGAAGATCGTATACTGCATCGTCTGCAGATGTTTGCGCGATTTGTCGTATGTGGTTATTCGAGAAAACTCTAGTGGTTTAATTAAAAAGAATATTAAGCGCGGCCTACTTAATAAAATTTTTAATCACATTGGCATTCCGTTTTCGAACAATGTGATGGATATTCATGTGTTATCGCAAGACATTTTAGATAATCATCGCAGTCAGTTATGCAAAAATATAATTGAATTATACTTTAATATTTGATTATTTTACAAAGCTCATAAAACTTCTGAAAAAGAATTTTATATTTGAAATAAATAAACAAAATTAATATTCCCAGATATCACATGAATATCCATAGGATATCTAATGGACGTCCATTAGGTGTCTAAATAAATTCCAATGGACGTCCATTGATTGTCTTATGACCATCCATTTTTGACAATTTCGGTTGTCCATTTATTCTCCAAAAATAGACCTAAAAAGATAATTTTAGTGTAATATCACAGTAATATTAACATGTCCACTGATATGCATCACATTATTACTGTGATATATAAAAAAAAACACCAATGGCACATCGCCTTGTGGAAAGGGAATTAATTCAAAATTTTACTTGACTTAATTTTTGGAAGCCTGATTCAGGTTACCGATCAACTGACTTAGGGCCGGTTGTTCCAACTTTAGATAAAGTATCGGGTAATCTATCTAATGGTTAAAACTTTGATTTGCGTTGTTCCATGTGTCGGTAAAATTTATCTATCTGGTAAATAACCTAAAACCAAAAGATTAAGTACACGGCACTCTCAGTACCGTGTAAGGTGTATCTAACAGCCCAGCAAACCATTTCTGACTGCGCAGACCTTGGCAACAGAAACTGTGTGCAGAAACGCTACAGTACGGAAACATGCTTTGGTGCTGCCAA